TTATTCCAAATTATGGATGACATCAATTTACCCATTCTCATAAATTCAACATTTTTCTTCAGATAATTTCTTATTTGTCTGCTGTTTGAAGTTTTTGACATCTCTATAAAAACTGGGACTCAAGCACACGTCTCTTTGCTTGCTGTTTGCATTACCTCCTTTGTCAGTGTTGAAAGTTGAGAAGCAGAGGTGAAATTCTCATTGGGCCCCAAGAGGAAGATTCTGATTAAACTACTTTGTGTGCTTTAGTTGCTAGACTCCATCGGATCCAGGGTTCATCTGGGGCTGCTCAGTGCAATTCCACCCCTGTCCCCCACCCTCAGTATACAGGTTTTAAACTGGGAACATTTCTTTAGGCCTCTTGCTGAAAGCTCTTTTCTGTACAATTTGCTCTCTTAATTAGCAAGAGCTAAACCACTGGGTGATGTTTCAGCATGGAAGGAATGTGATAAGAAAACAGCTTGTTCTTTTGGTCATCTCTTGCTTTCACAGTACTTGGTTATTTTCATGGGCTTTCTTTTGGTCTTGAAAGAATTACAGGTTTGAGCTGCAGTGCTCAAACTGAACAACGAGCTTAAGGGACTTCACTTTTCATATAGTTAAACCACCTCAGAATGTATGTGGCCTATTTCAGTCTTTATTGTTTCTCTGCAGGTAACATGTAATTTTTGTAAATCCAGTCAAGGAAAATAAGAATTGTTGAAATACCTCTGTCCTGTACCTTTTAAAAATTAAGTTCTGTCTTTACTTGTTAAAATAGATATCTTTTTTTTCCTCTCAATGCTTGTTCTCCAACAGTTGACAATTCATTTGGGGAACTGAAGCCTGTTCTTTTTTTAGGATTGACTAATGGATTTTCAAACATTTTATGGTATTCTTATCAAGAAGAATAGAGAATATAGAAGAGCGTTAATCTTGTTTTTTGGGAATAGCTTAATTTCTGCTTTGATTTTTCAGAGAAAAGATGCAAACAATCTTTCTGTCTCTTTGTTGTGGGAAATAATCTTTCAGGGTTTTTTTTATTACTTGCTCATTTAATGTGGAATAATTGGTTTTGAGCATTGCATCTTGCAGGACTTGAAACCAGATGATGGTGAGCATTTTATTTAGGCATTGTTTAATTGACAGCTGAGTAAAAGAAGCCACTTCTAGCTAGAGAATCCCTCATCCATACTCTATTCTGTTGTTACAGTTTTATAGCTCTGAAATTGCACACCGACAATACTATAATGTGCAGCTTATTATATTGTGTAGAATGAATGAAGACAGACTTGAGTTATGCCCCAGTTTTCTGTCTGACAAAATGGCAGTCTCATTAATAGATAGAAACTCATGAGTTCAGCTGTCAGTCTGTTATTAACATGGGTTTATAGTAGCAGCAGAGCTTGCTTTTTCCCTTAGCACGACATGACCTATGTAGCTTACATTTTTCCCTTAGAAGGAATATATTACGAGCTGTTTGCATTTCATATCTGTTGGGATCCTTGTATTTGCACACTAAGCTCTAAATTATTTCTTCAGGACCATTTCACAGAATTTAAAATATTTAGTGCAAACTGGAAAATAACGTTGTAAGGGTCCTGTAAGTGTGTTTGACTCAGGTTTGGGAACATCATGTAAAGACAAAAGTATGCTCTCTCATGTCATGTTTTGATTTTTAAATCAGCTTTTTAGTGTGTAGTATTGGTTTCTAACTTGCCACTTTTCTGTTTTAAATGATGCATTTGTTTTAATATATGTTCTTGTTTTAGCAGGTAAAGAGACATAATTTAGTATTTTAAAACATGCATTAGTTATCTCTAAACTACATTAACTTAGTGTTGTTTAAAACCCATTTTGCATGATGCCTTTTCCATTAACCTTGTCTAGTTTATTAAAAAAAATAATCTTGTTTAACAAGCGTTTTGCTGAGAGCAAAATTAACCATCGCCTAAAAATGAGGTAGCTTCTGGTGAAATCTCTTTAGCTTTTGCTATCTTTAAAAACTTATTTAGTGTAATGCAATACTCATTGCTCAACTTGGCAGCGGCAACCAACCCCTTCTCATTGTGTACACAACACTGTGATTAATCCATTAGTTCCCCTCCTAGTGTTCAGCACATCCTGTCTAAATACATAACTGTTCCTGCCTCTAAAATCTGTTAAGTTTTTCAGCTGACTGAACTCGGAGATGTTCTTTATACAGGGTCTGAGTTGACATAAACATGCTACAGATCCTTGGTAGAAAGCTCTCTGGATGGACATCAGGCAGAGAGGCACACAGCAGCAGAAGTCAGGAAATGCAAAGTTGAGATTGACACTCCCTTCTTAATTTTGTGTTTCCTGGCTGTAGCTGGCTTGCGTCAGAACCATAGCTTTGCTTTAAATATAACCTTGTTTACCAGTCAATCTACCAGCACTGCCTCAGGATATTTGTAATAATATTTTTAATACAAAATTGTTATCAGCAATCAACAGGTTGGAATTGCACGATGTTAAATTGGGGTCAGGGGCTGTCACAGAGACACTCTGTGCCTTGTCTGCAGTTCTCCACCTTCTCCCCGTGCTCCTGTGGCGTAGCTGTTGTACAAGTGAAAATTTGGGAAGGTGGCAGGGGCAGCGATACGCTCCGTGCCACCTGCCCTCAGACATGGAGCAGGGTCTGGCCGCGCTGGCAGAGCACCCGGCCTGCTGAGGTGTTCTCCTGGCAGAGCTTGCAATCTTCTTTTCACAGCCTGGTAACAAAACAAAGCCAGTAAACCCAACTGCCTGCAGATAATGCTTAGATTTGTGTGCTGGCTTTTCCTTGATGTGAGTTGGGCAATCGGTGTAATCGCTTCCAGGCTGAAGGAATTTAGGAAGTTGCAGTTCAGCTCTTGGCGTCTCTGTGCTTTGTCCAACTGTCTGTCCCTGTCCGAGCTGACTTTAAAGGGGTCTGTTCAGCCTATCAATTCAGAGTTGTAGAGTGAATATCTAGTATTTGTATAAATATTATATAAAGCCTTGGAAGGCTTTTGAGAGAATGAAAGGGGAAGGGATCTCATTTGTGGGTTAGTGTACCACAAGGTAAGGTGAAATTCCTCACTGTTCAGAGAAGACTACATAAGATGTGAAATGTAAGAGTAGCACCTAAACCAAAGCAACAAATAAACAGAATGAAATGAAGCTGTGTTTAAACCCTGCTCTGTGCCAGCCATACGTGCTGCTCCAGCTTACAAAGCATTTGCTTTGAGGATGAGTGATCAATACAGAGCAAATTTGACTGCAATTCTGGAGTTAGAACTTTGCATTTCACAAGAGCCCATACAGTGTTTTAATTGTTTAACCACCATGTCTGCTGCCA